TATGCACAAAGATTTATACATGCTATCAAAACAGATAACCATAAAAGAGAAAAAGGACTATCCATTTTAAAACCAAGCTCTAAAAAGCTAAAATTTTTATGATGAATTTTTCCTTTTTAAACCAGTTGACTTTAGCCTCATTTTAAGACACTTCCTTGTTCTCTCTAAGTGACTTCTAGACTTGAGGAAATAAAACTATGAAATATTTTCAGTGACATTAACACCTTGGAGGATGGAATATGGAATTTTTTTTTATAAACTTTTGGTTGATACACATTCATGGTACAGTGAATAGATAGCATACCTTGGTAGGGGAGGAGCCCTGAGCTTGAGTCATGTCTTTGGGACCATGGGTACCCATTTAACTTCTCAGGGCTCCCAAAAAACTCTCTAAGTCTAAAAAGTTGCAGAACAAGTATTATTCTGCTTTGGCAGCAGGAATTTTCTTAACGGGAACTCTGTATGCCAATGAAATCATAGGTTCAGCCCCCAAAACAAACTTATATGCATATTATATACAGATGTATGCACATATATAAACTTTTAGTCATAGTATTGATAAGGTCTCCTATCTACCTTATCTTCTTGCTGCCTAGATCACTTTCTCTAGATCTCTGATTACCAGGCAACAGTCTGAATCCTTTTGGCTCCCAAAAGAAGACTATTTAGCTCCACCCAAAAGAAAACAACTCTGAAATGGTTTATATAAAACTGCCTATATTGCCTTACAGGTCAGCAAATAACTATTTCCCTTTCATTTGAGAGCTTTCTCCTTTGCATCATAGCTGACTTTCATTTTCTAGCCTGTCTATCACCCAGCAAATAAAAGCTGATGGATATTCTTTTATGGTGCTTACTTTACTACAACAGCAAATGAATGATAAAATTAGAGAGATTAGGCAATAGATCATTTCTGGCAGTTTAAAATAAATGTTTGTTGAACTTCATTCAGATCCAAACATGCCCTGCACTTTCTCAGTCTTCCATCTTTGCTCACCCTGGTCTCTATGCCTAGACTGTCTCTCATTGCCACCTGTTTTGCCTGCTGAAATCCTTAAAACTCAACTCAAACACCACCTGCTTCAGGAAGCCTTCCTTCATCCTCATTTGTCAATAGCAACCTTGCCCCTCAGCCCTCAAAGAGCTTAGTTTCCACCTGTCCAATATACTAATCCTATATTATTGTGTATCATGATTATCTATGCATCTTTCCTGTCTTCTTATTTAAGTTCCACAAGGGCTGGAATCATTTATCTTTCCTAAACTCTGTACTTCTCCCAGTGCCTAACACAGTTTGAAGTACATGGTAGGAATTTAACACAATTGGTAAACTGACTCCTCAAGAATAGACAATTATCCTTGAGTGAATGAATGAAAAAGCATTTATTAGGTGCTTTCTTTGTACCAAGCTCTTAGATTAAAAATAGAAAAGGGAGATAGGCAAGCATCCTCACTGGCCACCTAGGACTGGGTGCTTTAATCACACAGCTGCCTGATGCCCTGGGATGTCTTCATCGAGAACAAACCCCCATTGGTCAATGATAGCTTACTTAAACTCATTGTTCAATGATGGACAAACTCCCACCTTGTCATTTCCACCCACTCCCTGTCATTCTGAACACCATTGTTCGAACCTCATTCTCCATCTCCTACTGACTGTTCCCTTTTTCCTATCCCTCTCAACCCAACCCCCATTCTTAAGCTATCGAACCCTTCCACTGTGCTATGTACAACAAATTGTACTTTGTCTTATACCTCGTCCTTTCTCATTCCCTCAACTGCAGGTTTCTGTTATGTAATCTCAACTGGGCTCTCACAGTGTCAAGGCAATCCTTTCATACTTCTTTAATTAATTCACTATCCCGTTCACCACAGTGACTTTTCCCAAGCTTTTCATCCCCCCCTTCTCCCAGCTCCCCAACTTCACATTCTCAGTGGATAATTCTGTCTCATATTTCAGAAAAAACAAAACAAAACAAAACTGAGGTTATTAGGTAACAGCTTGAGCTTCTCCCCTGCTCCTCACCTCACATCATTCAGATGCCTTCTACTCCTTTACCTTGATTCACATGAAGAGGTGGCCCTTCACCTTGCCAAGGCAAACCTCTGTACATGCACAAATGATTCCATCCCATCCTGTCTTCTCTGGCAGATTGCCCTTTATCACCTCTATTTTCTCAGTAATCTTCAATTGTTCCCTGTCTACCAGCTGCTTCCTGGTTGCCTACAAATGGGCCCAGGTCTCCTCTATCCTCAAAAAAAAATCTCACTTGATCCAGCCATCTCTGCCAGCTATTGTCCCACATCTCTCCTTCCTTTTGTGGCTAAATTCCTTTACAAATCTGTCTACAATAGGTCCCTTTACTTCTGTTTCCCTTTCTCTCTTCTTAAATCTCTGTAGCGTGGCTTCTGACCTCATCATTCAACCAATCCTGCTCTCTCCAAAGTTACTAAAAATCACTTAATTGCCCAAATCCAGTGGCTTCTTCTCATATCTCACCCTTCTTATCTTCTCTGCAGCCTTGATAATTGTGGATCACCTGTTTTTCCTGATACTGTCTTCTCTCTAGGTTTCTCCTGGTTCTCCTCCCACCTGTCTGACCATTACCTTGTTTCTTTTGCTGGATCTTTCTCCAGGTCCTACCCACTAACCACGGAGGTTCCCAAGGGCTCTATCCTGGGTGCTCTTCCCTTTTCCTTCTATATTATTTCACTTGGTGATCTCATCAGTTGCCATGGTTTCAATGACCATCTTGATGCTTCTGGAGGTCCCTTCCCACTTGGATGCCTTGAGAATAGGACTAGGTTATAGGACCACAGACCTGGAGCTGAAAGGAACCTCAGAGGCTTCTTTATGACCTTTGTTCTGGGATGCTGAACTCCTCCAGTGTGCATACAGCCAAAGGCTCAGAATTCACATCTGTCACTATTCCCAAAGACAGGCGACATGACATAGACGACAGAACTGGCCTTAGAGAGCTCTAGTCCCACCGTACTGGCTGGGTGACCCTGAACATATTTCACTTAGCTTCCCAGTTCCCCAAGTAACTCTCTAAGACTTAAGTTAAGAATAGAAGTTATAGAATTGAGAAAAAGAGGTTCCTCATCAGGAGCTCCTTATAGCAACACAATTACAGGTCCACTTATAAAAAAAAAATTTCCGAAAGGTGTGGTCGCCATCTTCATCTCCCCCAGCACAACTCTGGACTCTGCCCCTGGGTCCCTTGGCTCTGATAGGTGACCTTTCATTTTATCTTGCTCAGAACCAGGCCTCCTCATCACTTCCTGGCCATCTTCGTACCAAACCTCCTCCCCCATCCCTTTCTAGACCCTCCTTTATGTGCTGTCCCCCATTAGAATACAAGCTCTTTGAGGGCAGGGATTATCTTGCTTGTATTTGTATCCCTAGTGCTTAGCACAGTAGCTGGCACAAAGTAAGTGCTCAATAATAATAAATAAAAATAGTTCTCTCTATCTGTCCATCTGTCTACCATCTTTCTGTTCATCTATCCATTTCTATCATTTTCTGTCCGTTTCTATCTACGCATCTATGTATCTATCTTCCTATCTACCACCCTAACAACAATTAGCTAGCTATAGCCTCCAAGCCTCACTGAAAGCTGAGATAATATCTCTCACTAAACAAAGTTCATAATAGGAGGCACAATGGCATAGCTTCAATTTAACTTTCCATTGTATAACTTGTTAAGAACACTTTCTATCACACTTTCCCCACTTCCCATTCATTCTGCCCGGCAGCTTGTAGACCCTAGGTAGAGGCCATACTTGGTGCCCAGAGATAGGCCCAATGGAGTTGACTAAGGGCCTGCTCCTTAGTCCGTAAGGTAAACTTACTTCTGAATAGCTACATTAGCCAGCATAGCAAAGGAACATGAAGAAGACCTCTTAACCAATGCTTAAATGAGTAGAGCACAGGCTGATTCTTTGGGATTTGGAATTCATGTCTTTTATGCGTGGGAGCAACACAGACTTTGCAGCTATGTTCACAAATGGAAATGTCACATTGAATCATGTGAAAAGCAGGTAGGGGGTGAGGCAGGGGAGGGAAACAGACAGAATGCCTTTGGAATAACGTAGTCAGTCACAGCTCTTTTCCATGAGGATGGAGAAAACAAGTGAATCAAGTTTTCCTCCTATATAATTCTACAGGCCAATTATGTGACAATTCCCTGAGAGAATTAGAAAAAGACTTAATCTCCTATTATTACAAAGCAGCATTTAAGAGATAATGTGGGAAAAGGTAGAGCTAAAAATTAATCTTGGAAATACCCTATCGGATTTCTGACATTATGTACGTCCTCCTCCCCTCTGCCTCTTAGACAGCTTAGGTATCACCTTTTATATGAGATACTTCTCTCTCCCTCTCTCTCTCTCTCTCTCTCTCTCTCTCTCTCTCTCTCTCTCTCTCTCTCTCTCTCTCTCTCTCTCTCTCTCTCTCCCCCTCCGTCCCCCCTCCCTCAATTACTTTGTAAATGCTTTTGTGTTTATTTGTCTGTGTGCACAATGGACATTTTCCCATGAGAATATAAGCTCCTTGAAGGCAGGATTATTTTGTTCTTGTCTTTGTATTACTAGAACCATGCCTGCTTATACAGAGTAGGCAGTTAGTAAGTGTTCATTGACTGTTTTTTTTTTTAAACTGAACGCAGTAATAACAAAAATAGGGTTGTTCTGCCTAGCTAATCTCAGAAAATCCTTATGATTTACAAGTCGTACACAGGGTGAGTAATATGATTGACATTTCTATCAGAAGCAGTGTGGTACCCAAGTCTCATGTTTATGAGGAAAAGCAATCTAAATGCTGGTAGCTTTGAGCAAGTCAAGCAAAATGACTACCAAGATCCTGGTCACTTATGTAGGTGGACCAAAGAGAAATTCCCCACTTGGAGATGCTGGTGACTTGGAGGCTCAGTGACGGTACTCTTTGGTCAGCACAGGAAGGAGTTTCCTTCCAACATTCCATCCCAAGAGAGATTTACCTGCGTATGAAGAGATGGGGGAAATCTGCAGAGGGTAGAGTTCGCTCATACTGACGGGCTGTTCGTCACTTTCTGTTGTCACCTCGACAACTTGGCATATGTCGGGTGGGTTAGTGACAATCACTTGGTCCTCGATGTTGCTGTCAATATGTGACTGTCCTACAACTTCAAAGAAAAAATAAATCATTCACTGATCAAGCAGGTTTCTTTGCTTAAATCTCCTAAATTTTAGTGGAAACACTTGGCACTAGGGGATTTACTCACTAGAAATGGTTTTATGCTAAATGCCTGGTACCTGTTGACTCCCCAACAGAATATAAGCACCTTGGGAGTAGGAACTGTCTCATTCTGTCTCATTCTTGGTATTTGTATCCTGGTACCTGCAGTAAGTGTTTAACAAATGTTTACTGATTGATTGACAGGAGGTGGGAGGAACAGTAAGGAGAAGGAGGATGGAGGTCTCAGTAATGAAAGTGATACAGAAGGTAGCCTAGTAGATGCTGCTAGTGGGGACTTCGAGAATTCTCTTAGCTATATTTCCCATCACTTTAATAACTCAGGTATTCTTCCCCCCCCTTCCTATGTCCTCACCACAAACACTCTCATCCTAAATAATGAAGATGATGTCTAACAGACTCTTTAATTCCTTCCATGGCTACAAGAAGGGTCTCTTAGACTTGATGTACACAGCCAAGTTCTCTGGGAGAAGTTTCTAGTAGGAAGGATTCAAGGGAGTCATGTGAGAGTCATTTTGAACTATGGCATAAACAGCTCATTTTAACCAAATCAACCAGGTTTAAATGCTGCTTGATCCACATAAACTCAAATTCCTTTCTGTTTGATTCTCAGAAGTTCTAATAACAACAGGATGCAAATATTTGCATTATTGGGTTTGCCTTCATAATGACGACCAACCCAAGCCCAGAATGTCCTCCTATTGCCTCTCCTCCTATTCAGATCCTACCCGCCTCGTTGGGGCTCACTTAAAACCCATCTGCTGGTCAATCTTGCCCACAGTGGTCTCTCTCTCGTCTGACTTCCTTCACGCTTACAGACATGTCTCTTGCTGTAGTTTAGCTGTTTGATTGTGTCCAACTCTTTGTGTTGACCACACTGTCCATGGAGTTTTCCTGGCAAATATACTGGAGGGGTTTGTCCATTTCATTCTCCAGTGGACTAAAGCAAAAGGAAGTTAAGTGACTTAAGTGCCCTGGGTCACACAGCTAGGAAGTGTCTTGGGCAGAATTTGAACTCAGGTCTTCCTGACTCCTGGCCCAGGGCTCTATGTGCTGTGCTATCTAGCCACCTCCTTACTGTCAATACCACTCTGCATTTAAATCAGTACTCTGCTTTGTGACATCTCTTACCTTGTGCTTTCATATGGTTAATGATTGTGGTATTGGTTTGCTTTTCCTGTGCAAGTCAGTAAGTCTATAAGCATTTATTAAGCACCTACTGTGTGCCAGTCACTAGGTGAAGCACTGGGGGATACAGAGAAAAACAAAGAATAATCCCTCATCTTAAGGAGCTCACCATCTAACAGTGTAGGACTTCTCTTCCCAATGAGACTAAGATTTTCCTCTACAATTCTAATGAAGTTTTATATGCCTGTGATTTTATAGGCATTGTTGAATGAATGAATGAATGAATGAATGAATACCCAAGAACATCACAGTCCTTTCATTTCGAAGTTGGTATTATAGTGGACCATAGAGGAGTATGACAATTGGAGAAGTTGCCTGAGCCACAGAGATCTAACATTTTGCTTTTTATGAAGTATTTTCAGAGTCTAAAAGACTATTCTGGCCCCTGGACTCCCTTCCCACCTCTCTAAGAATATGGCAGGTAATTGCTTCAATTTGGTTTCCTCATCTGTAGGACAAGAGAGCTGGACAAGCTGTGGAAGGTTGAAATACTGATGACCCAGAACACCAGGGACCAGGGTGGAAAAAAATGTGTTTGTGATTTTTAGCTTATAGTCTGGCTACCTAATAACAACTTCCATGTAATCTCTTTGAGGTCAGGTTACTCAAAGACTGTGTGCTACTTCACACACACCCCACACACCCCCTTGACGGACACGTCTCCCTTTTCTTTGCTGAAGCAGCTTTTGGAAGACTTCCCAACTACATGTCAACAAACCAGAAAGGATGAGTCAGATTTTCCCAGTGCTTAAGCTGCTCTCGGCTGTATTTTCAGCTTTTAGAAGGTGCATTAATTCCTTCATCATTACTATCATAAAGTATTTATAATGCACAGCACTGGGCTGGCTAGTGTAGGAGGTGAGGGAACTAAATGTGGGCTTGCACCCTCTAAAATAACATAGATGCGAACACACCTAACAATGGAGGAAGCTAGGTAGGGAAGTGGATAGAATGCTGGGGCTGAAGTCAGAAAAACTGGAGTTCAGATCTAGCCTCAGAAGCAAACTAGCTGTGTGACCCTAGGCAAGTCAGTTCACTGTCATCTGCCTCAATTTCCTCAAGTGTAAAATGATAGGGTAATAATAGGGTCTACTTTGCAAGGCTGTTGTGAGAATCAAATGAGATAATATTTATAAAGTGCTTAGCACAGCATATGGCACATAACAGACAATAATCCTTCCTTCTTTCTTTTTCCTTCCCTTCTTTCCTTCCTTTCTTCCTTCCCTTCCTTCTTTCCTTTCCTTCCCTTCTTCCTTTCTGTCCTTTTCTTTCTTTTCCCTCCCTTCTTTCTTTCCTTCCCTTCCTTCCCCTTCTTTCTTTCCTTCCTTCCTTCTTTTCCTTGCTTCCTTCCCTTCCCTTCCTTCCTTTCTTCCTTCCTATACCACCACATAAATAGCTAAGAAGCTCATAAATAGGAAAACTACAAAAATCTACCACCATAGCCAAGGTCATAAGTTGCTGGTTTATTATGCTAAAGGGTACTTAGGGAGTTAGTAAAAGTTAATTTTAAAAAAGCCAAAACCCTGAATTTCTCTGAAAGCTTGTTCTCTGCCCCGTGACTATAAAACCACTAGTGTTTCCCCTTCTTGGGACTCTGGGTTCCATTACCCCGATTTCTTTTCTGACATTCTAAGCAAGATGTTGCAAAGATTAGAAAAGATAGAGAGGGAATTTCAAGGAGGACAAACCCACAGGTTTTCAAAACCTGTGGGGAAAAAAAAGTCGTTCATATTAATGAAACTTTATCTGCAAAGTCACTGTGAAGAAAACGTAATGATTCACATTTACATTGCACGTAGGATTCTCTCCTTCCTCATCTCTGCCTCCTGGCTTCCCTGGTTTCCTTCAAGCCGCAGCTAAAATCCCACTCTTAGGAGAAGCTTTTCCTGATCCCCCTGAATGCTAGTACCTTCCCTCTTGATTATCCCCAACTTATCCAGTATATGATATGTTTGCACACAGTTGTTTGCATGCTGTCTCCCCCCTCCCTAAACAGCAAGCCCTTTGAGGGCAAGGATTTTTACCTTCCTTTTTACCCCTGATCTTAGCACAGTGCCTGGTACAGAGTAGGTACTTAATAAGGGTTTACTGACTGACTGGTTGCTGTCCTTTGTTTTTAAAGAAGACCAAAATGACATCACTGGGACCTGAACACAGGACCACTGGCCCCAAATCTGACCTATTTTCCACAGTGTCATGTTGCCTTACAGATGAATGACAGAAAAATGGCAGCCAGGTGGAGCAGTGAATAGAATGCAGGAAATGCTAGAGTGGGGAAGGCCTGAGTTCAAATTCAGCCTCAGACATTCACTAGATGTATGACTCTAGGCAAATCACGTAACCTTGTTTGCCTCAGTTTCCTCATCTGTAGAATGAGTTGGAGAAGGAAATGGCAAACCACTCTAATATCTTTGCCAAGAAAACACCAAATTGGGTCACAGAGTCGGACACCACTGAAAACAACTAACCAAACACAATGCTATTTTAGAAGGCCAGTTAGTGCCATCCACTCAAGTCTACTGATTAGTGTTGAATATCTTCATTTCAGTGTGGGTCTACACAGTGAGGGAGAAATTCATGGTCTATCTCTTTTTACCAGAGAGGCATCTAAGGCAATTTCCATAACCCAAAGTGAAGATGGAATGCATTGCCTCAAGCAGTTTTGAGTTATCTATCACAGGATATCTTCAGGCGAAGGTCTGAAATACTGTAGAGGAGATCCTTGACCAACCAATAAAGACCCTTGGAAGAGAAATAGCCTATGACAGTGTCTGTGGAATGAGGCCTATTGAAAGGGCTCCAGCTTATTAAATGTCTACAATTATTATTAAAGTGAGCCAGTTTTATAAATAAGCAAACATACCTTCTAGAGACAATAGTGTTGTGTGCACACACACACGCACACACACACTCCGTGTGTGTATGTTTGTGCCCATCTCTCAAACCATTTGCTAAGATGACCTGAATCAGTAGGAGTAATAAAATCAATGGGTTCACAGATCCTTAAAGTATTGATTTTAAACCTCTGTGACTTGCACCGAAGCTCCTGGATTTGTTTGGTCTGTCCTGTTTCACTTGTGTTCTGACCTTTGTTCACTAAAAAGTTATATTTAACTCAAGCATTTCTTCAGTGAATAGGGAGAGGTGGGCAACGGGAAATACACTCGCTTGTCCTCAAAGAAACCAGCCCAGCACTAAAAGGTGAGGGCTGGGGGCTGGGAAAAGTGGCACAATGTCTTTATGAGGAGGGTTTGAAGCTTTGATAATAAGTAAAGTTACCACAATGAGAACTCAGATCTAGGAGCTCAGCCAATGGGCCATTTTCCATGCTGCTTTGAAGTTTGAAGTTGAATCTCTTATATAAACACTTGTCTCATGGTTAGATGATTAACATTTGACTCTTGGCAAAGATACTTTCTAGCTGGGAGACTCTGGGCATGTCACTTAAACTCTTTGTGACTCAGTTTCTTCATTTATAAAATTGGGATAATAATACTGCTAACACCCTACTTCATGTGAGGAAGGAACTCTGGAAACCTTCAAGTACTCTCTAAATGTGAATTGTTATTATTTGAATAAAGACTAATTTATCAGTTTTTTTCACAAAAAGAATTTCTTAAAATAACAACTAAACTCCATTCACTGAGCCTCCTAGTTTATCAAGGATGACTTAGCAACTTAATGCTGAAAATGTATGCTTATCTACGAGACCAGACTTTCTGACCAAAGTCAATCCTTCCA